CTAAGCCCTAAACCCCAAACTACTATTGGGTTATATGCCGCAGGCATGCCTCCCTCGTGCTCCCTCTCGGCCGGTGTCAGACTTTCATAGACTGCTGCGGCTTGCTCTACATAGGGATGTGCTGAACTGGGTTGCTGTCAAGGAACCTAAATTAAGTTACCATAATAATGGGTATATATCGTAAATAACTGGGGTATAGAGTATTCAACTTAAACTAGTTTTCTTAACAGCAACTCAGTCAAGATAGTTTTTCATTTTGCTTGATAAGAAACGCAAGGACAATCTACAGGACTTTGCGTTCCCCTACACATCAAAGGACTCCAACGGGGACCCCTCGCAGGGAACTATACGCAGTAGGAATGCAACAGGAACACATTTACCAGGGTCCTTATATTGCTATAATATTCCTACTTTATTCTTGGGGTTACTTGTTTGGTATCCCTGTCAGAGTCCTTTCATAGAGCAAAGGAACTCCAAACACTACTGCCCTGTCACAGGGGGCTACATGACATGGAGTTCTATGTTTGTAGAGGCTAGAGAAGGATTTTGAGTTGGGAGCTGCTTTCCAGAATCTGAGGGTACAGGGCTTCAGGAGTCTCAAGTTTGTTATTCCCTTCTACGGGCTTGACTAGGACTTATACGAATGCTCTGCAAGCCTGAGAAAGTAGTATCATTGTCCCTTTACAATTCCTCTACAAGCATACACCCCCAAATCCGATTCTTTTCTAAGCCAGTGTGAAGATGGCGCGATTGCCTTCCTCAGAGCCCAACATGCGTGCATTCACACCAGGGCACTCCTTTTGAGATATATCTTAGGTGGACCCCTCACCCCACCCTGTAATGGTGGTATATTTGAAGAATATAGTGACCTATTATCCCCATAGTCCCTTATAGTCGCTATCACTGAGTGGGGGGTCCGCCTAAGATATATCTGCATCATAAGAAATTCGCCCTCTTTCTCTCTCTCTCTCTCTCTCTCTCTCTCTCTTCGGCCTCAGGTTTGGTTCTTAAAGAGCCTGAAGGTTGTTTGGAGTTCAGAGCCCCATACTCCAAAAAAAACCCAACACCCCTTGCTGAGGAATTATATACCAGATTTGTAGCATTTAGGGCATATACTCCTTAATTAAGGGACATTGATTGGTTTTCCTGACCCCGGGACCCTCACCCACAACTCACAGCCTTTGAGCCCTGGTACGCCGAAGGCATGCCGTCAACCGAAGCAGGCTTCAGGCAGCCGTTGCCGCCGCTGAGGATCGCTTCTAAGGCCTTACGATAGGAGGGTCGGGGGGATAAGGTTAATTATGTAGATAGGGTTGCGTGGCTATATGAGCCATAATCAAACTCCTTAAAGTGGTTTTATAGGGCATTATACCGGGTTCTACTATAGGCGTTATTAAGGGGATACTAGGAGTTTAGACTATGGCTCATATGGTGTATACTTCCTGGTTTTCAGGGTTCTGGGTGTTTTACGGGCCGGCCCACTTCGCAAAACATGAAAGGCAATCGAGCATCTGCCTCCTTTCCAGGGCCCTCCAAGGGTACCCCGCATTGAAAATCCCCATAACGTTATTAAAGGCAAGTCTGCAGGTGGGACGCGCTGTCCTGGTTGCCCAGAGACGTCTGGATGGGTCACCGGATCCAGCGGCTGGCATCACAGCGTACCTCGAGGAATCTAGGGTTTGGGGCTCAGGGTTTAGGGCTTACGATGGGTCCATCAGATTATGTGGTGTATGTGGTCCTCGGGCAATATTCCACACTACCAGGCTCCCTGGCCAGCCCTGCTACTAGAGCACAATGATGAGTTGCCAGAGATGCAGAGTCTGGTTCGGGCTTAGGGCTTAGGAGCGCCAGGTCAGAAAACCCCAATCCTAACAGCACAAATATTCCAAAAGCATAGGCTTCAGCCCCAGAGCATATCGAATCTACATGGGAAGCAATTTGGGCTCAGCCTTTTGTACTGTAATTATTGTACATATTGTTTGAAGGCTTTGACCCCGCGGTAAGCAAGACGCACACACGTTATACAGTGAGCTTCAGGAATGAAAGGATGCCGCTTGGATAGTCAAGGAGTGAAGCTTCTCCTTCGAGGCTCGTGGCTAGTTCAAAGTAGAGTTATAAGGAGTTTAGGGTTTTTGGGATTAGAGGTCTCCATCTAAGGTTAATACCTAGTCATCATGAAAGTTGTCCCGTTCATAACTCCTATTAGAACTATTTAGGCATGCGCCGCCAAGTAACATTGCAAGAATTTGTTGGGTAGCTGCACTCGTGTTGACATAAGTTTGTCTGGCTTGTGTCTAGGTGGTCTGTGCCCCGTGGACCTACCCAAAGCCCTAAATCCAACTTACCCTAAGGGTCCAATTACCCAATAATCATATGCTTACCCAAAACCGGTACTATAATTACTATTACCCAAAACCCAAGTACCTAATTCTTGGGTACATGGACCCTTTGGGTTAACCACCCAGCATGAAATCCTTGCCCTCACGCCGGTAAACCATCAGCCCTTTTGTCAGCATCTGACACTCCACCTAAATCGGCTTCATGGTGACGAGCCGCCTATCAATCACCTGAAGGGTCCAAGGACCCAAATATTAGGGTCCCTTTAAGGGGGTTATAGGGGGATATATGGGGACTATATAAGGGTTCAAGGACCCAAATATTAGGGTTCTAGGTCCCAAATACCATTCAGATCATAGCCTTTGGGCCCTAAAACTCCATTGTTTAAGTCCCTGGACCCTTAAGGGTGACACAACTGCGTTGGCAGAAGCCCGTCAACTCAGGTGTCCGTCTGAGCAAGATGCATGGCTGCTCATCTACAGGCATGGGATTTCGCTGGTTTTTACTCAGGGTTTAGGGTTTAGGGTTTAGGGGGACGAAGGGTCTGACTTAGGGAGGGTTTCTTCTGGCAACAACATCATGCACCAACTTCTCTAAGCCCACAACCATACTCTTCTGGAAGTCCTTGCCTTGTAACCTTAAACCAACGGCAGGGACCCCTGTTTCCCTTGTGCTTCCCAAACATTAGCTTTCCAGTATTAGAGATAAGGGTTTAGCGCTTATAAAACCTAGGTTCCCAATGATGGAGAGTGACATGGAGAAGAAACTTGAACATGGAATAGAACTGTGCAACAAGTGAACAAAATATCACGACCTGACCCAACAATGGCAAGCATCATTTAAGGTTCTGAGATTGTTTAGAACTGGTCCGAACAGCCATCCCATGCAGCTTGATATTCTAGACCTGGACCCTAAGGGCCCCAGACTTTTCCACGTGTAGAGTCCGTTTGGCTACCAGGTGTCATGCATGGGTGCTTTTCAAGATTACCCCGAAAGGATTCTTAAGAGCGGCCTACATCATCCTCTCATGCAACCCATATGCATATTGCCACAGTCCTTTGTTTTCGGAAGCTTCCCCCAAGGGTCCAAGTACCTACTCATCATATACTTACCCAAAACCTGTACTGTAATTACTATTACCCAAAACCCAAGTACCCAATATTAGGTACATGGCCCCTTTGGGTTCCCCATACTGTTGATGGATGAAATCTTGCACCAACTAGGGGCCTGAAACTATTGTAATTTCTGGGACTTTAGGGACTTATGGTGATGCAAGGTTTCCTCCATCAACAGTATCTCCATGCAGCACCCGGGGTACTTGGACACCTGCGATCCACAGGTTTCGAGATGCTGCGAGTGGCGAGCATCCAGGAATTAGAAAAAAAAGCCCGCCACGTGGTTTGCGCCATTTTGGGTTTAGGGTTTGGGTGCATGACCGACAACCTGGGGGCTAAGGGTTCAAGTGTTGCCCTCGATCATTAACTTTTTTCTTTGGTCTTTGGCGAGGATGTGGTTTGACGTCAATAGCGAAAATTATGATCAAGTAATATTCTTTAATCCGCAGCAATGGTGCATATGTGCACATGAACATATGGACGTGACGCGTTGGGAAAGTATTGGTAGCTATAAGCAGCTACCCCCTGCTGCATGCTGCACTAAAATCACGCCTGGTGGTGGCATTACTGCAGGTTCTACTTCGTAGCAAGTTCAGACCCCTCAGACCTCCATTCCAAACCCTATAAGTCCAGCAGGTTTAATCACAAAACTGAGATCCTAAGCCCAGAACCCTCAACCCCAAAATTTGACAAGCCCGGAACCCTAAGCCCCAGATTCTAAACCCCAAGCCCACAAAACCCCAACTCTGAACTGTAAACCCTAACTCCCAAGCCATAAAACTCTAACCCAAGGCCATTCTGGCATCCCGCTTGCCCCAAGCTGCAGCCAAATCTGTCGACGATGCGTGCAACTCAGGGCCATACTGCCTGAGTTTTAGGGTTTAGAATTTAGGGTTCTTGGTTTAGGGTTCAGGGTTCAGGGTTTAGGGTTCAGGGTTCAGGGTTTAGGAATTAGGGTTTGAAGTTTAGGGTTCAGGGTTTAGGGTCCAGGGTGTAGGGTTTAGGTTTGAGGCCTACCCAGAGTAACCCTAGACCCTTAAAAGCTAGGTAGTGATATCAGGTACAGAACTCACGTTTTTTTACGTATATATGTTGCTGTAGGTGGAGTGTAGGGGTTTAAGGGTCGAGGGCTAAATGTTTAGGGGTTTAGTGCGAGTGCAGGGTTTGGGGTTCAGGGGATTGGGGCTTATGATCTGGGTGAAGTTGAGGGCTTGCTGGACACCCGACATGAAACTTTGGAATAGTGCTTGCCCAGAAAGCCCGATACACCCCTTACTTATTGAATATACCCTGAAACATATTAGGGATCCTACGGTGGATGGAGGAAATCTTGCACCACCTAGATGGTGTCACCTTGCGAGGCCCTCAAGAGACAACCCTGCACCCCCATCTTAACATGGATTACTTGCATGGCGGGGCGGTGCAAGATTTACGGCATTGGAAGAAACCCACATAATACGGGCCCGAGCACAATATTAAAAAGGGGGCGCGGGGTGTTGCTAACATGGCTACTTTAAAGCCGGTGCAAGATTTCCTCCATCCACAGTAGTAAAAGGATTCGGGCATTCTGGGTACCGTCACTGCCACACTCGCCCTGGAGCACAAACGGGTTCAGCCAGCCTCGGGTTGCGAATAAACACGTACAGTACCCTCTTGAAATATCGGGGGGGAATGCCCGGGTCTTGTACGGGTGTGTGTCTTGTGTGTCTTTTTTTCTGTTGTGTCTTTGTCAGAGCTTTCTGCATATGATCAGCGAAGGCCTGAACCCTTAACCGAAAAGAGGCGCTGCAAGAAAAAATGGATGCGCGCTCCATCACGCAAACCCGTGTACTGAGCACACCTGCTGGCCTCAGCCTCTCCGACAGGAGTTTTGGTTGCAAGCCTGTGAGCCCCTGCATCCTCAACCTGGTGATCTGAATCTTTAATCCTAAAGTATGGCCATACATACTGGTGGTTAGTAGGGAATAGAGGAAAGGAACCCTGCAGAAGTCCCCTAGAATCTCCTTTTAGAACTTGTATGTCCAATTTCACCATTCCCCGCTCACCGCAGCGAGACAAGCATGTAGCTTGCGTCAACAGTTTTGCAACTCATATGGGACATGAGGGGTTCCTCCTCATGAGCCAGGGTTTGGCGGTTTATAGTATTTAGGGTTTAGGGTTTTGGGGTTAGGGGTTAGGGCTCGGGTGGTGTAAGGTTTAGGGCTCAGGGTTTAGGGCTTAGGGCTTTAGAGGGCTTAGCTTTGGGGGTAGTACGCTCTCCAGACATCCTGGCCTGAAAGAGGCCAATACTAGACCCTGAACCGCGTGACTGCTAAGGAACTTAAAGTAGGTTACCATAATGTGGGTATATCGCAATCTGTAGGGTTTCCCTGTGATAGTACTGGAACTCAAGTTCCTTACAAGCAACGCAGTTGAGAGAGGTCCTTCGCAGAGGAGAGTTCGGCGGCAAAGCGTTTTGGGTGCGGTGTCCGGGCCTTAGAAACAGGTGGTAGTAACTCTAAACCCTAAATCCTACAGTAAATCCTAGTCTGTAAGCCTTAAACCCTGCATGATGATCTCAGAAAGGATGTCTCTTCACACCAACGACGCTGCGCCATAAGTATAGTACAATATATAGTGCAGACGTAGTTGGAGTGTAGGGTGGGGGCTTCTGGGTGAATGCTAAGCTGAAACGAAGCTCCATCAAAATTCTGGGGATCTCTTAGATCGAATGGTTTCCCTGTGACGGTATCTTAACTTGATATTGCCTGAAACCCTGAACCCTAAACCCTAAACCTTAAACCCCAAACCTTAAACCCTAAACCCTAGTAATGGTATCTAAGCCTAAGTTCCTGAACAGCAACCCGAGGATTCGAGATGTCTGGCGCAGAAGGTGCAGGGTTCAGGTTTACCTAAAAGAGCTTATGTGCCTATGGACAGGAATTGTGTAATTACTTGGCATGATCTTGATACGTTTGCCTTTTAAGGGTCTGAGGTTGCTCTACATATGGGTTCCTCTGCAAATTTTGTGTTCCTTGGTTACCGATTATATTACGGCACGTAAAATTAGACTATATTACGGCACCTAATATTTAGGGGTGCGAAGATGGGACGCTGATTTTGGCCTTATTTCAGGAATGCCTTACCCGTGCGAGTAGGCCGGTAAAGCTGGGACGTTCATGGGTTTTAGTTAGGTGGCCCCCCCACCCAGTAATACTGACTACAAGGGATAACATAGGCAGCAAGAAAGATTATATAACGGTCCTCTTATATTATACTCCTATCATATCACTATTACCGGGTTTTGGGTCCTCCTAAGGTTTTACTAGGTCTTTTCAAGGCGGCTTGCAGACCGTGCATTTGCTCACCTTTGGTGTCTGAGAGGGGTTATCCCAATTAGAGGCATGGTTATAATATTTGTAGTTGTATGTAGAATAGGGTTACCGATTTCTTCTTCAAAAAGCAGGGCATCACGTGGATTTCTCCAGATGTCCTTAAGAAGGACAACTATGTAGAGATAGGATAAGTACCATCGTACCAGAACCTCATAGAAGTATAGTGCAATATACAGCAAAAACCCATTCCAATGATTTCGGTCCTTGCGTTAGCAGCTTGAAGCCACTAAGGCGAGGGACTCGCAAATGCCGTCGTGACCTTGGCAAGGTATCTAGTATATATGGAATCATTTACTTCTGACCACCAGGAAATGAAGGAATGCATCCCCGTAGGATTCCTTGTAGACTCCCCAATAAGACATTTGTTTCCATCTTTTTATTTCTTCGTTCCCTGGGAACCAGACGTAAGATGATCATAGGCCATCACGGACCCGCCTAGGCCCCAATCATCCAAGATTAGGTCGTACTTAGTGACGGAGTGGGGTGCCCAAAAATTCTGATCACTTTCTGTGGGTCCCTATCCTCGGGATGACCTTAAATACCCTCATCCACGCTAGGATGCTATCTTTGATTTTGCCTAGGAACTGCGTTTCTTCAGGTTCATGGCACTTAGTAAGAGCTTAGACCTGGCTTATGTGTGTATATATATGTATAGAGGTCACACCCCAATTATTAGTACTTATCAATCGGGTTCTAAGCCCAGATCCAGGTACTTAACAATGTTGATGGACGAAATCCGGCACCACCCCAAGTACCCTTAGTCGTAGGATCCCCAAACTTTAAACCCTAAAGCAGCCAAGGGACCCCAAAGTGCTATGGAACAGGCGCACAGCCCCAAACCATCTCAACCCGGACCATACTTGAAAGCTTTGGTCCCATTTTTTTGGTAGACACGCATCTCTGGGATCTGAAGAATGCTCTGAATGTGGCAGGCTGTAAGCTTGTAGTATCCTAGAACCCTGAACCCTAAATCTGTATACTCTATATCAGAAA